AGGTATGTATCTATGCCAGTCAGCACCTAATTAGTGGCTAAGGTGTTCTAGGCCCTGGTTAAAAATTAAAAAGCATCCTGAATTGTAAGGATAGTTTTCTTAAACTGAACAGGTATATGGTCCCCTAAACTCAGAGAAACAAATACTCAATATATTCCCACTGTACCTAATTATGTCAGGTCTTTACTCTTAAGTGTTTTTCTTGCTGAACAGTATGAGGTACTGTGCAGGTGTATACTCAAACACCAAAGTATTTACAAAATATTTATACTGGCTTAAAGATCTCTATCACCATGGAAAAAGTGTATCAAAATAAATAGAAGGCAGCACGGCATTAGAGTTAAATTGTTTAAAGTACCCTGTGAGTTATTTTCTAATTCTAAATTGCTCTGACCATTCATGAAATAAGACTCAGAAAACAATACTGTAAAAGCATTTGTTTTTGTTCTCTGTAATGAAATACTACAGATGTTGGTAATATATTAAAAAAATACCAAAACACTCCTATGGCAAGTATGAGCAAAAGAAGTGACCAGGGCCAGGGATTTAGCTCAGTGGTTTCATCACCTGCTGCACAAGTGCAAGAACCCAAGTTCAATCCCAGATACCAAAAAAAAAAAAAAAAAAAAAAGAAGTGACCAATGAGGGCAAAGAGTGTCAAAACTAGAAGATAAAGCTATTGGTGAGCAATTAATGGGAGATACTGTGAAAACAATAAGAGAAGCTGATGTAGTGGCACATGCATGTAATTCCAGCACTTGGGAGACTGAGCCAGGAGGATTGCCACAAGTTCAAGACCAGCCTGGGCTACACAGTGCCAAAGCCAGCCTGAAGTATATAGCAAGATGGTCTCAGAGAGAGAGAGAACATGAGAACATGAAAAACGGATCCCACAGCTCCTAGATGATGCAAAGGAGACTAACCTAAGATTAACCGGAATTAGTGACAAATCAGAAGATAGCTCAAATGGCATAAAAATATGTTTACAGAAATACTAGCAGAAAACTTTCCAAATTAGGGAAAAGAATTTAACATGCAGCTAAGTGAGGCATACAGAACTCCTAATAGCCAAGAACAGAAAAGAACTTCTCCATGACAAATCATGGTCAAAATTCCTCAAGTCCAACACAAGAACAGAATCACTTATAAAGGTAAAAACATCAGGCTTCTCAATACAAACCTTAAAGCTAGGAGAGTGTGGAGTGAAGTGTTTCAAGTCCTAAAAGAGAACAATTTCCACCCCAGGCTGATGCATCATGCTAAACTGAATGAGAACTCTTTTTTTTGATACAGGATCTCACCATATAGCTCAGACTGGCCTTGAATTCACTGCATAGCCCAGGCTGGCCTCGAACTCTGAGCAATCATCCTGTGTCAGCCTGAGTGCTGGGATTATAGGCAGGCCAGATATTTTCATAATACAGAGCACCTAAAGAAATTCATGAGCACCAAATCAGCACTCCAAAAAATTCTGAAGGATATCCTACAGAGAGACAATAAAGCCAACAATGACAAAAGGTCTAACGAAATGAATATACCAGGCACTGTAAGCAGTTAAGCAGAAGGGAAAGACAGAATCAGCAACAGGAAGATAATGTGATGACAAGAATAAGTCAATACCTATGGATTAACAAACAAAACCTAATGAGATGCAGTAAAAAAACAAACACATTTAATCCAAAAAGAAACTCACAGACTAAAAATGAAAAGGTAGGAAACACTATTCCATGTAACAGGAAGCTGTAAAAAAAGCAGGAGTAGCTATCCTAATTTCAGACAAAGTGGATTTCAAGACAGAACTGATCAGAAAAGGTAATAAAGGTCACTACATATTGGTTCAGGAAACAATTCCACAGAAGAGATAACAATCATAAATATATAGGGCCGGGGATTTAGCTCAGTGGTTCCACCGCCTGCCTCGAAAGTGCAAGGGCCTGAGTTCAATCCCCAGTACCAAAAAAAAAAAAATCATAAACATATATGTACCACACAATGGCACGCCCAACTTCATAAAACACACAATAGTGGACATTAAAAAAAAATTTTTATAGGGCTGGGGATGTAGCTCAAGTGGCGCCATGCCTGACTAGCAAGTGCAAGGTCCTGAGTTTGATCCCTGCTACCAAAAATAAAATAAAAATAATTTATAAGGAGGGACCTCAATAACCCACTCTCACAGAAAGATCAACGATACAAAAAAAAAAAATCAACGAAGTTGAACCAAACCTTCAATGGTCTTAATAGTTATTTACAAAATGTTCCACTCAACGACAAAGTACATTCTTCTCAGCAGCATATGGAACTTTCCAAAATAGATCACATACTGGCCAATAAAACAAGCATAAATAAATGTAAATGCATTAAGAAATGCTCAACATGACTGGCCATTAGAGAAAGGCAAATTAAATCAATACTGAGATTGCATCTTACCCCCAGAAAGAATGGCCATCATCAAGAAAAAACAAATGCTGGCAAGCGTGCAGGAAAAAGGAACCCTCTACAGTGATGGCAGGAATCCCAGCTATTCCTCTTTTAGGTACAATGGACCACTGACTTAGGAACTCAATTTGTTTGTGAGGGCTGCCTGTAATTCAAGTTGGTCAAATGAAGGCTCAGGCTCCTCCACACAGCCTTCAAAGTCTCTCTCCTGTATACAGGCAGACCTCAGTGTCCTTAGAGAGACATTGGCCCAGGGTTTCTTGGTTAACCTCACACAGGAAAAGATGCTGTAATGTTCCTTCTAGAACTCTTTAAGGGTTGAATCTGTATCTGAGACCACCAGGAAGCACAAGCAGCTGGCATTCAGGTCTTAACTCAAGACTTTGGTTGTAAGTTAAAACTAAAATGCCAGTCGTTCATATGTCAGGCTGGTTGTAACTCAATGGTCCACTGTATATTCCCAAAAAGAGTTAAAGGCATCATCTTACAGTGATAAATGCACACCCATGTTTATATCAGCACAATTCATAATAGCTAAATCTTAGAAGCAGCCTACACATTCATAAACAGATGAATGGATATAGAAAATGTGGTATTTATACACAATGGAGTACTATTCTGCCACAAGAAAGATAAACTTGAGTCATCTGTAGGAAAATAGATACACCTTGAGACCATAATGTTAAGTGAAATGAATGAGACACACAAGCTTAACTATCACATGACTTCTCTTATATGAGAAACCCAAAGATTAAACAAACTGAAATAAAAGACAATAGGAAGTAAGGAGATAGATCTTCCTCAAATGGAAAGGGGATCAAGAGATGGAGGGAGGGGCAGGCAGGGGAGGAAAAGGGAATGAAAAAAGAAATAAAGATGTGTTATGTACATGTACCAACTCCATACAAGGAATATAAACATCATGTACTGCAAACAAGTACTAGTAAAAAAAATTTTAATGTATTAATTATAAAGCAGGTGAAACTAACCACATCCTAGAAACAGGAATGTTACCCCTTCCCTAGTCGATCTCCTTGCTAACTCCTTTTTTTTTCTATTCCCTTTACTTTTTCAAAACTGTTTTTGGACTTCCCATCCATATTAGTCAGCTTTCTAGTCACTGAATACCCAATACCTGCAACTTAAAAAAATTTTATTTGACTCATGGTTTTAGAGAATTTTAGTCCATGGTTGGCCAGCTCTAATGAAGAAATGTATGGAAGAAAACTGCTCAACTCATTATAGCCAGGAAGCAGAGACAATGCAGGGGCCAGGGACAAGAATACACTTCAAAGTCACAGTCCTAATGACCCACCTCCATTTAGATTCCATCCCCTAAGAGCACATTCAACTGTGAACTCATCGCCAGCTTAATCCACTGATGAGTGCACCCCCAAGATCCACTCACCTCTGAATACAAGAGGGGGAGGGGTCATTTTAGATCTAAGTCATTACACCATCCATCCTACACACAATGATGGAGGGAGGGCAGGGGTGTTCTGGGGATCCAACTCAGAACTTCATGCGTGCTAGGCACAATCATAAGTGTGGAGCATGATGAAGTAAGAAGATAGGGGGTGGAGGGAAGGGGGGGAAGGTGAGGAAGTGAGAGACAATGGGGATTGAATACACGGCCTTAATATTAAACTACAGCCCCAGCCCTTTGTCATTTTTAGACAGGGTCTTACTAAATTGCCCACACGGGGCTTGAACTGGGCGTCAACTTGTGAGGGTCCTCAACCTCCAAGAATGCTGGGATTAGAGATTGCATCAACATGCCTGGCTGTCCCAATGATCCTTAAATAAAGGAGTTACTTATGCATCTAATAAGGGGAGGGGAGCTAATGGGGAGGGGAGAATCTGATTTACAGTTCTTTCCAATAATACAAAGGTATATGGCATATTTTCCACCATACAAAAATTGAATAGCATATATAGTTTTCTTTTGGTAATTTGAGCTAACTCACTAAAAATATCACTAACAATGTATCACAGAAGAAATGGGCTCCTGTATAAGCCATATATTTAAAACAACTCTGCAGTGGCTGTTGTAACACTATAAAATTTGTGGCAGAAGAAACGGACCCAGTCTGTGTTCAATTGGTAAAAGCTTAATGCTATCTATGTTAGGAATACTTAAAAAGTAAAAAATTGCCAAAGACACATAGGTGGAGAAAAGGAGATATACAATAGTTTAGATATGCTGGTTAAATAAAAGACCTGTAGAAATATCTGTGAAGGCAATATGACTCTAGAACTTACTCTTTGGATCAACTATATTATACAAACACTAGTTGATATTACACTTTAATTTTTTCTCTTCTTTCCAGAGTATCTTTTGAAAGCAAGAACTTTAATCAAATGTTTTTTAAAATGAAGAGAAACATCTAAACATCTGAGAGTGTCTCAATAAATACCCAGCTGGGCTGGAGGAGGGAGTTCAAATCTTTGAGCATTTTTCCCAGACTAGTTTTGAACTTTGTAAGAAAAGATATTTCTCATTTCAAGCAGTAAACAAAAGTAACATGAAAAACAGAGAAAAAAAACTGAACCACACTTACCCCCCAAGCAAGTCTGCAGTATCACTTTGTTGATTCATATTTACAACCCTCAGGCGGTGGCCTTTAAAAAAGAAAGAACAAAATAAAGAATTATCCAAGTATTTAAGGGCTGATAATAACCAGAGTATTCCTTAAGGAAGCAGGGACATGCCACAGAATAAAGTTTTAATGTGTATTTCCTGTTGTTGTTTTTTTTAATGATGCTGGGGATTGAGCCCAGGACATTATACAAGTTAGGCAAGCACTCTACCACTGAGCTAGCTATATATGCGTAGCCCTCCCTCTGATAGGTTCGGGAATGTCAAAATTTCAAAAATTTCATATAACCCAGAAATATATACACAGAAAAAGATTTACCATGGCCTTACTATTTCAGCATCTAATAACTATAAATAACTAAAACAATCCTTCAGCCAGGCACGGTACACCCTTGTAATCCTAGCACTCTGGGGAGCTGAGGCAGGAAGAGTGACACAAGTTCAAGTCCAGCGTGGGCTTACATAGTGAGTTCAAGGGCAGCACAGTGAGATCATGAAACCCTTAATAAGTCAGTGTCTATAAATTAGAACTAAACAAATGTCAATTGTGTGTTATATTTGGCCATTAGAATGAGAAGAAATTTTTCTATCTACATTAATTTTTTTTTTTTTTGGTACCGGGGATCAAACTTGGGTCCTTGCACTTGCAAGGCAGGCGACAGAACCACTGAGCTACATCCCTGGCCCAGAAGACATTTTTAAGTTGTCCAATTTGCTTAACTAAATACAATATGTAGAGTATAATTCAATTTGTTTCAAAACAAAATGTGTATTTGAACAGCACAGATTAGAATGTACTGAGATAATATCAATCTGTTAGGAAAAAGAACACATGTGGAGTATGGTCACTTTTTAAATTCTTTAAAATTAGTTAATTTAAAAAAAAAAAGAAAAGGTCAGTATGAAATGTCTGGGGGCAAAATTCTTTTCCAGGAGTTACCTGTAATGTGAGCTAAGTACTGGACAGTAGAGGTTTTGCCAGTTCCAGTCTCTCCCACCAACAATACAGGCTCCCCTTTGCTGACACATACTGCAAGCTGTTCAATGAGAACAGATGAAGGCCGCGTAGTAGCAAAAGTGAGCTTCTCCCTAGGAAAGGAAAAAGGAATTTAAAAGCCAGGGTGGGAGCTTGGATACAGCTCAGTGGCAGAGCAACTGCCTAGCAAGCCCCAAGTTCAATCCCCAGCAACAAACAAAATGAAAAGAAAAAAAGTCTGCAAGCTTTTCTTAGAGCTGCTTTAAGTAACTAAATATTCAAAGCTCAACAAACAAGAACAGATAACATCCCAGAGAAACCGTCTTCATACTACAACACATATTCTTTTTTGGGGGGGCGGGGTACAGGGGATTGAACTCGGGACCCTGCGCTTGTGAGGCAGGCGGTGGAACCACTGAGCTAAATCCCCAGCCCCTACAACACATATTCTTATAACACATGAATTACAAAACTAACTCATCCTGCAAACATTGAATAATCATATACCAGGTAAGATGCTAGGCTCTAGAGATTCAAATATCAGTAAGACATTATTTGTACTAATTGTGTTTCTTGAGCAAATTACTTCACCTGCTTTAACCTGTTTCCTCACCTCAAAAATGTAATTAAAAAAATAAATAAAATGTGGTAATAACACTACCTAGTTGTAATGGGTTAACAGTCTTCCACAAAGATTCAATTTACTGAGAATATGTGAATATGACTTCAGCTTGAGTAGGATCTCTGCAGATTTAATCAAGTTAAGATAAGGTCACTCTACACTGGGCCTTACAACCAATGTCTGGAAGATTTGGAGACAGAAACACAGAAACACACACAGAAAAGTCCATGTGACCAAGGAGACAGAGACTGGAAAGACACAACTGTAAACCAAGGAAAATCAAAACTGCTGGAAGCCAAAAGAAACCAGGAAAACCCCCAAAAAACAATTCTTCCTTATGGGAGGAAACATAGTCATGTCAGCATCTTTATTACAGACTTCTAGTTTCAAGACCTGAGTGAGAATAACATCTATTGCTTAAACCCACCAAGTTTGCGATAACCTGACACTATTACTAGGCCACTAGTAATACTTGTCCATGGGATTATTAGAACCATTATATGAAAAAGCAAATGCAAAGCACTCAGCACAATGTCAGATAGCTGGTATGTTTATACCTAGAGCTCAGAATCTTACATAATTCTAGCCTTCAAGGAATTTACACTTTAGTGTGAGAACCTGACTTCTAGCTGAGTCTTACTTCACTTAATACACTAGAGTGAGTAAAATCAGATTCAACTTTGCTAATCCCAAGTCTCTCACACTGATGGCCTTCATCATTTCCTTCACCTATTAATATTTGGTCTCACAAAATATACTTCGGGAAAACACTGCTCTGTTCTACGAAGCACACTGGAAAGATCGCAGTTGAGGCACATGTTTTGAGCAGGGATAAGGGGCTGCACTAGATCTTCTATCAAGCTCCTAAAGACTACACAGTTCATAGGTCAGTTTAGAACCCCAACTTACTTCTGTATGTGGACAGCCTCACTTTGTTTCCGAAGAAGTCGTACTCGACCTACTTGCACATCTAACTCATTGATCACAATTTCTGGTTTATAAAGCTGACAGAAGAATTCAACCTGTGTAACAGAAAGATTTAAACTGAGTAAAAATTCTGAATGTTCTCTGAACATTTTCTTATCCAAAGAGGCTTACTTTGCCCCTCTAATTAGCTCTCGACCAAGAAACACTCTACTTCCAAGATGGATATTAGCTTTCAATCAAAGTTAAGTTTTGTTTTTCTTCTTTCAATTTAAAAAAAATTTTTTAAAACACTGACTATATTTCCCTGAAATGGTACTTTTTATTCATTTCAATAAGGCTCTCCCTGTATGTGATACGAAGATTCTGACATTTTAAAAAATTCTACTCCTAAAAAAAAAACCCAAAAAACAAAAAACAAACAAACAAAAAAAATTAAAAATAAAAATTAAAAAATTCTACTCCTAACATATTAAAAGTAAAAGTATATTTTGTTTCAACTATGCTTTTCTTTGCTTTAAATTTCTAATAGTGCAGGAAACAATGGTCCATCTGGCTATGGCCAAAGTACAAAAACAAACTATGGAGATGCCTCTGGCTGTTCATCCAATAGCTATTTATCACTTCCCTTGTCACAAACTCAGATTTTGTACAGGCTTGGAACAAGAGTAAAAGTGGAAAAGTATTCAGGGTGGCCCCTCCCAACCAAATATTGATCAGTCTAATCCAATCATGTTAGTTTCATTATTCTTGGCTACATGAGTATCATTTAACATGTTGATAATGGGGCCATAATTCGTATGTCTCACTGCTGGGCAGCTCTGATTTAAATGTGTCACGTTCCTGCTGGCTTGGACCACGGGTTCACATGCATGAACCACCTGTGGTCCAAGCCAGCAGGAATGTTAAATCCCTTTCAGTTGGGTGTTACATTATCTGCAGCCCAAACCTTCCTAACTATTTCACAAACCTAAGAAACAGGTCTACTATTTCAATTCCTGATATAGTCATCATTCAAGTGGGAACACCTGATATCTGTTTCAAGATGCGCCCCAGACATTTCTCCAGTCAACAAACACATCAATACTACTGTTGAAAAGCTTTCTCTCCCAAAAATATTTTTTTGTGATGCCAGGAGACTAAATCTAGGGCTTTGCACATACTAAGAACACACTCTACCACTGACTTACACCCCTAGCTTCTCTGAAAAATACACATTTTGATATAAAACAACAATGGCACAATATTAACAGTTTCAGTGTTGATGTACCTACATAGTTAATATACCGATATTCATTGGTACTATTTTTTCAACTTTTCTGATGTTTGAAGCTATTTATAATAAAAAATGAGGGAAAAAAAAAATCTATGCACTACACTACAGACCAAGATGTCACTAACATATAGTTACTCCTGAGTCTATAACCTGTAAAATAAAATGGTCATTAAAACACCGGAGAGTACAGTGTACATGACGTAGTGCAAAAGGAAGCTCATTTTAAGAATATATAACACATGGGGAACTACTTAGCAGGGGGATATTTAAAGTTTTATGTCCATGACAGATAATAATAAGACTGTCAACATTTACACAAGATTCAGCATTGCAAAAGCTATCCCAGGAAAGGACCAAAGACCAGTAAGCAAGCTAAATTCTTTATACAGAAAAGTAAAAATAGCACCACATACCTTTTTCTTAGAAATATTCAACTTGCTTCCAATAATTTCTGCTATTTTCAGTTTGCTTGTATGCTCAGAAAGCATTGCTGTGAAACAGTCCAGAGCCTATTAAAATAACCAAGGTAAATGCCAACTGATTTAAAAATATATATATTAGTCACAGAGCATCACTATCCTGGCCTCAAGAGGAAAGAACATAAAATTCAGATGGAACATTTCTGCAGGACTGAAGGGAATGCAACTCAGGTACAAAGAGGACATGTAGGATTTATTGTGGAAATATTAGTTATATTAGAAATAAATAAAAATCATCTCAGGCCGGAGATTTAGCTCAGTGGTTCCGGCGCCTGCCTAGCAAGCACAAGGTCCCAAGTTCGATCCCCGGTACCAAAAAAAAAAAAAAAAAAACACATCTCATTTTGCAAATTTTAACTTCATGCATCATGTACACAGTTCATGGGATAAACCGACTGTCAGTGCTAACAGAAGACCAAACATTGTTCCTAGCAGAAGAGGATACACATGGTGTGCAATAGAAGGACCACTGGGTCATTATCCTAATCTAGCATTCAGTATTAGTGACAACCAGTGGGCCAACGAAGTATGTGTTCTGATGCAATGAAATACAAAGTACCACCAAACTGTGCCAGGTGCAGTAGCACACACCTATAACCCCAGCTATGTAGGACAATGAAGCAGGAGGATCACAAGGTCAAGAACAGCCAGGGAACTTAGTGAGACCCTCTCTCAAAGTATTTTTTTTTTCTTTTGTAATACAGGGAATTGAACCCAGGGCCTTCACACTAAGCTACATCCCCAACCTGTTTTGGGTTTTTTGAAGACAGGATCTCACTAAGTTGCTAAGTTATCCAGGCTCGGTTCAAAAGTAATCCTCCTGCCTCAGCCTCCAAGAGTGCTAGGATTACAGGCATGTGCCACCATGTCTAGCTCAAAATAAAATTTTAAAACAGGGTTTTAGTTCAATGGTAAAGTTTTTGTCTGACATGTATGATCCCCTGGGTTTAATCCCCAGTCCTGAAGAGAGAGAGAGAGAGAGAGAGAGAGAGAGAGAGAGAGAGAGAGAGAGAGAGAGAGAGAGGCACCACGAAAAATCAATTCTATTCCAAAAAAGTTAAACTTGCAAATACCAGGTACTTTTTTAAGCTTCTATTTACAGATGATTCAAAGGATAAACTAGGGTCAAGGACACCATTACTGTGGTATAAAAAAAAAATCTGCCAGATGTGGTGGCACATGCCTGTAGGCACAGCACTCTAGGAGACTGAAGCAAGAGGATTGCAAATTTGAGTCCAGATTGGGCAACTAAATGAAACCTTGCCTCAAAATTAAATAGAGGGCTGAGGATATATATATCCAAACACACATACATAAATATATCTATATAAGATATGTAGATATTTATATACTATATATCCATTTTGTCTTTGTCCCCAGTTCTTGTCTTGGCCTAACATTTAAAACAAGATAAAAACAGAATTACCAATGATACTTGTTTTTGTTATTAAAAAAAGGTTTTTATTTTTTTGGTATTTTTGAGACAGGGTCTCACTGTGTCATTCAGCCTGGTTTTGAACTATGTAGCCAGGCTGGCCTCAAACTCACTGAGATCCTCCTGCCCCAGCCTCCCAAGTGCTGAGACTACAAGCATGCACCACCACACCCACCACCTGAGTTAATTCCAACAGTAGTGACTCACAGCAGGGAGCCCTGAAGGGAGGGGCTGGCTATGTCAGAAACAGCACATTCCTAACAGGAGGGCTGAAATTTTCAGCCTCACACCTGACCTCTGAGAAGGACAGAGATTGGAGACTGAATTTAAAACAATGAGCAATGGCAATAAGGTCTCAATTAAATCTGGACCCCCAAAGTATGGAGCCCTTCCTGGCTGATAAATGTAATGATGCACTAGAAGAGAAGCTCTTCCACTCAGACTCTCTAAGACCTTGCCCTGTATGTCCCTTCTTTGCACATTCCGGAAATGCACCCTGTATAATAATACTAACTGAAGTATACCGCTTTCAGTGAGTTCTGAGTCATTCTACCAAATTACTGATCCTCAAGGAAGTCATGGGTACCCCCAAATCTATGCCACAAGCCATAAATCTGTGTGCCCTTTCCACAGACTTGCAGTTGGGTTCTGAAGTGACAAGAGTCTAGTGGAGGACTGCGCCCTTAAGGCAGTAGGGTATAAGCTCACATTGAGAAGTGTCCAAATTATACTGAATTAACTGCAAGACACCAGTTAGTGTGAGAGCAGTATGGAAACAATGATAGAAAGCCAGATAATGAAACACTGCCTAAAGCAAATGGCCTGACGTCGTCAATAATGTAGTATGTTTAAAAGGGGATTCTGGGCTAGGGATTTAGCTCAGTGGTTCCAGTGCCTGCCTCACAAGCACAAGGTCCTGAGTTCGATCCCCAGTACCAAAAAAAAAAGGGATTCTGACACTAAGATTCCTTAAGTCTACATGCATAAGAGAAAGATGTAGAAGGAAACACATTAAGGTGTTAACAGTGCCAGGCAATATTTGGATGTGGAAATACATTTTATCAATTTTGTTTTACTATAGTTTCACATTTTATGCTTGCTTTGGCAGCACATATACTATAGTTTCACATTTTGCAACAATACATATATATTGCTTCTTTATATACCTGTTCACAAAAACATTACTCACCATAGCCAAAAGGTAGAAACAACATAAATGCCCATCAAGAGATTAATGCAAAAACAAAATGTTGCATATGGAAAATTATTCCACCTTAAAAAGAATGAGGCATTCATTCATGTTACAACATGCAGTAACCATAAAAATATTCTGGGTAGACTAGCCTACTCCTGGAGGCTAAGGAGAGAAGGAAATAAGTATCACAGAAAAAAAAAATTGAACTGTACACTTTATTTATTTATTTATTTATTTATTTTTCTGGTACTGGGGATCAAACTCAGGTCCTTACGCTTGTGCAGCAGGCGGCGAAACCACTGAGCTAAATCCCCGGCCCTGAACTTTAAAAGGGTAAATTTTGAAAATATAAAAATGAAAGTGTAAATTCTGGATTGTGGATTATATCTCAAAGTTTTTGTTGTTTGAAGAGACCGGCTCTTGCTGTGTTGTCCAGGCAGGCTCCAAATTCCTGGGTTAAATAGATCCTCCAGCCACAGCCACAGCCACCTAAGTGGCTAGGACAGCAAGTGTGGGCCACTGTGCCCAGCTAATGAAGTGGTTTTATGCACACGCACACACGTGCACACACACACACACACACACACAAACAATAATATTCTATCCAGCAGTAAAAAATATAAAAGGAATCCTATGAAAGATATTAGTAAAGTATAAAACAAGGTTACATGCAAGAGATAAGAAATGTGGGAAATAAGTTCGCTTGAAAATGATAGACAAGAATGCCACACAGCATTTCAGGGTTCAGCTTAGCACGAGTGTGCACTCCAAAAGAAATTTCTAGGGGCTGGGGATTTAGCTCAGTGGTTCTGCTGCCTGCCTCGCAAGTGCAAGGTCCTGAGTTCAACCCCCGGTACCAAAAAAAAAAGGAAAAAAATTTCTATCTACTCAAAAGTAATGTTACCATACACAAAGAGATACTACAAACCAAATTGGGTCACTGTTCTTTCCTCAGCCCCAACTGACAAAAACCAGAGCACAACACTGAAAACTGGCTCATGTAGTAAGATCCCATAGATCTACAAGTAGCACTACTTTTACTCTTGGATAGGTGGGAATAAATCTCACTTTGTTTTCATTATATTTGGCAGAGCTATACTTCGATACAGCTTCCCTCTCACATAACACATTTTTTCCCAGTTATACTTTGTAATTCCCACATATTTCTCTGAAATAAGGATAAAAAGTTCTACTGAGGTTAAATAGAGGAATCAGACAAATACAAATTATCAAGCAGACTAAAAAATTATACATAGGAATAAATAGGTATTTTGGAAACACTTTTATCATGCTTTACTATGATCTAGGAGTTTTCATTCTACCTTTACTTTCACTGTTTTTTACTCTATCTCAAAGTATACTTCATTTGAAATTAGTAACAATTTGTTTTAAAAAGTTTTAAGACAACTTTAATTCAGTTTTAACTAGCTATGGATAATAAACCATACTTAGCCGGGTGTGGTGGCGCATGCCTGCAATCCCAGCTATTCAGGAGGCTGAGGCAGGAAGATCACTGGTTCGAGGCCAGCCTGGGCAACTTAGCGACCCTGTCTCAAAATAAAATAAAAAATGCTGGGCATGTGGCTCGATGGTAGAACTCTTGCCTGGCATGCGCAAGACCCTTGGTTCGATTCAGAGTACCACAAATAAATAAACAAACAAAACCATACTTATACAAAAAGAAAAACAAAACAGACTATCAAGAAACAATAGATAAATCAACAGCTTTATGGAGCAGAGAATACTGACAGGAAAACTATATCTTACCTCTTGAAAAATATTGAATGATGCCGATGAAGATGAACTGTCAAAGCTATGAGCAATCCTATTACACCAATTCAGCAGATCCCTTTAAAGGAAAAAAAGAAAGAAAACTCTAAAGAAGTAAAAGAACATAAGCTAAAGACATCAGAGTTTATAGGGACCACTTATATTTGGGAACACCTTTTAACCAAGTGTCCCCTTTATTCTGCCAAGAGGAAGAAAAACGTATTAAGAGATTTGTCCTTACCCTTAAGGGGAAGTCAACTATCTCTTATGTCTCCCCCATGCATGCCAGATAAAAGAGTAAGGAAGCAACAAACTCAGATAAAAATAAAGAGAGTTGTTCGTTCTTAGCACACTTCTTAAAAATCAAGTAATGACAATGGAGAACTAAAGAGCAGAACTCATCACACAGAGCAAACTCCAAGAAATCTTATTTAAGACACTAGGAGTCAAGAAAGGACATTCAGTGAAAGAATGTTAACAACTACTTCCAGGTTTTTCTGTAAAAGTATTTTTTGGGTTTTTTTTAAGCTAAAAGTGGCATTACCTTTACCAAGCTTTCCCAGTCAATAACTATAGATCTAAAAGGGGTTTAACCCCATAAAGTAACCCAGAAGTTTAATTTCAAAACCTGTCATAACCATTTAGTTCTAGCTGGTAAAAACTTTTCAGGGAAGCTGATTCTAAAGTATCAATTCAAAAGAGAGTGTAACATAGTACCTTAGAGACAATTCTCTTCCCTCAAGGACTGGTCTTTTGTTTTCTCTTCTGGATTCTAAAACTTCCTCAGGAGCCTGTGCCCATCCAACAGAACTCTCACTCTGACAGTGATGTTTCTCTCCAGTAAGCTGGATGTAGATGTCAAGCAGGTGATCAGCTGCTGCCAACAGGCTGGAATATCTGCTCCGAAGAACCTGACAGAGGGAAGAAAAAAAATTTAGTACTAAGTACAATGATTTTTGAAAAGTATACATAAGCTGAGGGCATAGCTTAGCATCAAATATTTGTCTAACATATATGAGGCCCTGGATTTGAATGAAGCACCACAAAAAACAACCAAAAAGTACACATAAAATATTGCTGACAGACACTAGTCAACCCTTCAAAAATGGACTTCACTATGAAACTTGTAATCCTTATTAGGCATAAGAACTTTGCACCCTTACCTGCTCCTGCTCCCACTCATTCACTCTATACAAATGACATGACTTTTTTCCTACCTAAAATTCAGTTACCTGGCAATCTTACTACATAAACACAATTTAGGGAGTAGATGTCAGATGTTAAAAGGGTCTCCAAGCAATCAAAACGTACCCATCTAGGCTGGAGGCAAGTAGTAGAACACTTGCTAGCCTGTGCAACCCCAGAATTCAGTCCCCAGCAAAGAAGAGAGGGAATATATTTATTCAAGACCAAGGAAATACTCACTGACGAATTCTTCAGGTACTAGTTACTGTGGTTCCAAAGATAATTCTAGTCAGCTTTATTATATTACTTTTCAGTCAAAAGCAAATTAGAACCTGGCATGGTGGCACACACCTATAATCCCAGTACTGTGGGCGGCTGAGACAGGAGGATCAAAAGTTTGATCAAAGATTGAGCAACTTAAATGAGTCTCTGTCTCAAATTAAAGGGAGAGGGGGACTGGAAGGACTAGGCATATAGCTTACTGCAAAGGTAGTTCAATCCCTAGTACTGCCCCCAAAATTGAATTCAATTCAATTTTTTACAACAAAACAGCAAATTAAAAGCAGTTTTGAAGAAATTTAAAGAGTAAGTTTTTACATCAACAGATGGAGGGAGAAGGGAGGGGAGAGGAAGGAGATGAAAAACAGAATTAAAATCTGTTATGTACATGCACCAACAAGAGGAATATAATCATTATGTACTATAAACATGTACTAATATGCATGAATGCACACACCTGTGATCCCAGCATGCAGGAGGCTCAGGCAAAAGGATGGTCATGAATTTGAGGCCAGCCTGAACTATATAGTAAGGCCTTGTCTTAAAAAAACAAATAAACAGGGGCAGAGATTTAGCTCAGTGGTTCCACCCCCTGCCTCACAAGCCCAAGGTCCCAAGTTAAATCCCCTGTACCAAAAAAAAAAGCCCAAAACAAATAAATATGCACTAAAAAATAAAAACAAACAAAAGAGTAATTTTAAAAGCACAAAGAAGTTTGGTTTTTTTATTTAAAATTTAAAAGGCAAAAAACAGAATTTAAGAGGGCCAGGGATTTAGCTCAGTGGCACCATGACTACCTGGCAAGCACAAGGTCCTGAGTTCAATCCCCAGTACATATATACATATATAGATATATACATATATATGTATATATGTGTGTGTATACATACATATATAATGATATTATATATTATATTTTATACATATTATATAACATATTGTAATATATTATGTTGTAATTATATTATATAAATACATATATATGTGTATATGTGTGTGTGTGTATATATATATATATATATATATATATAAAATTTAAAATGCAAAAGATTTAGTCCAATTCACTTCAACAGATATATTAGGAATTACTGCAGTAGTGTACTTGGTATTTATAATATTGGTTCCAAAGATTTAATAGGTTCAGTCAAGTTTGTTTGAAAAGGCAAAGAAATACTTAATCATCCAACACTTTTAAATTACCTTGAAAAGAAGTACTGTATATTGTGATTCCAACTTGCATATGTAATTGCCACACACACACACACACACACACACACACGCACTTTATGTAATGTCTATATAACTAAAGGCCTTACAGTGTCATCCCAAGTAATAGATCTTACAGTTTTTATTTACTTTTTACAGAAGAATTTTACAGTTGACACTATGTAACACATATATTTCAGATGTGGAAAAACAGAGACAGAAGAACAATAAAATCAAGAAATCATTTTTTCGAGGAGAGGCACTGGTGATTGAATCCAAGGGCCTCTGCACTGAGCTACATTCCCCAGTCCTTTTGCTACTGTTTTATTTTGTTTTGAGACAGTCTCAAAATATGGACTCAAACTTTCAATCCTTTGCTTTAGTCTCCTAGTGTTAGAATTACAGGTATGTGCTACCACACCAAGCTCAAATTCAATTTCATGAATTTTTCAAATACAGAATATACATTTTTGTGTATAAAGGGAACATTTCCAAAATTGTTATATATTTAGGCATTGTTATGGCTTATGTCTACATGTTCCCCCAAAGCCTCACGTAGTCATAGGTGAGGCTTTTTCAGAGGTAGCTGAACACAGAATGTGTGATTGATTCATGGTGCTATGAATGTTAGGATCAAGGGTGCAAGATTAAGGATGGGTGATTACTAAATCAGTCCAATGATTTAGCTCAGCAAGGCCCAGTAGCCTAGATAGAATATAAAAAGGGCTTTAAAAAGCTGCTAAGGTCCCTTGCTTGCCCTGCTGCCTTCTGCCCACCATGAACTGTTTCTCCCCTGCAACGCCTGTCTTCCAGGCCACCGGACCTTGGAGCCAGCCAACTATGAACTGAAACCTCTACAAACTGTGAATAAACCTTTCCTCTTTTGAGTGTTGGATATTTTGTCTCAGCAATGAGAAAAGTAACTAAACAGGCATATAATACTGTCTAAGTATTTAATTTTAGCAATAATAAAATTTAGGCAGCCTTAGATTTATTTTTCCTAAGTTAGTTTTATTGAGGTATACTGCAATACACTGTAAGATTCACTCTGTTATAGGTGCAGAGTGTAGACAAACATATGTAAACATGTAACCACTACCACAAGATATAGATCATTTTGCTATGCATAGTGATGCACACCTGTAATGCCAGTGCTCCGAGAAGCTGAACCAAGCTGAACAAAGAGGATCAAAAGTTTGAGCCCTGCCTGGGCAAGACTATCAGGAAAGAAAGGAAGACAGAAAGAAAGACAGAAAGATGGAGGAAGGAGGGGAGGAGGGGAGGGGAGGAGGGGAGGAGGGAGGGGAAAAGGAATTTAAATGGAAGGAAATGCAAAGGTCTATCACTCCCAGAATAAAGTTTCTTGTATTCCTATCCTAATCAATCTCTTCTCCACAACCCATCCCAGAGAATCACGAATCTTGATTCCCATTCCTGTGGTTGTCTTTTAAATCTAACATCTACGTAAGATTATATAGTTTGTAGCTTGGCTTCTCCTACTTAGCATATTTTTTAATTCATCTAGATATTACTGTACCTATCAGTAGTCATTGCTTTTTACTACAAAGTTAAGGATGTCATTATATGAGCATGTGTTCTATTTATAACGGGGGGGTGCTAATTTTACTTGGAAAAAACCTTGTCAGGGGTAGCTCAGTGGTAGTAGAGTATGTGGTTAGCATGCAGAAGGCCTTAAGTTCAACCCAGCATCCAAAAACGGAAAAAAAGAAAAATCAAGTTTACCACTTTAGCAAAAGCCCCAAGTATTCAGAAAGATTCTAAAAAGGAAAGTTTATTATTATTACTATTTTTTAATTTGGGAGGAAGTTCTGGGGATTCAATCTGGGGCCACCAGCTTTTTTAATTTTGTGTGTGTCTTGCCAAGTCAGTAAATTCCCCTAGCTGGGGGGCTGGGGATTTAGCTCAGGGGTGCCTGTGCCTACCCCACAGGTGCAAAGTCCTGACTTCCATCCCCAGTACCAAATAAAATAAAATAAAATTGCCCTAGCTGGGCTCAAACTTACAATTTTCCTGCTTCAGCCTCCCACAACACAAAAAGTTTTTATGTACTCACTGAACAGTCATTTTTGTACCATAGCCAGGAACATACTTTTCTGTACTAGCACAAATGTCAAAAATTAAACACAATAACACTTAAAATCTAATCTGATATGAAATGGCTCTATTACCAATTCAAGATGTATTTTAGAAATTCTTCCCTTTAATAAGCATTTATTATGTACCTATTTTGTATCATACACTGTTCCATGAATGGGCAAATAAATGAAGAATGGAGTCCACCCTCAAGAAGTCTCAGGGGGAATGAGAAAACATGTAAAGAAACCAAACTTGGAGCAAAAATGACAATGCAGTCAGCACGATTTTAAAGACCAAAGAAAGTTTCAAAGAGCAGGAGATGGGCCTGTCAGGTGTCACACAGGCTGTGAGCAGACACTGCCAGCACAAAAAGCAGAGCACTTAAGACACTGGAGACCCTTAGACACATTCTTGATATATGAGGGAAAGTAGTCTTGAGAAAATGCCAGGGGTGAGTTGAAACATACTCAACTCATTTTTTAAAGTAGTTTTATTTTGGGGGGTTGTTGTCTTGTGGTTTTTTGTTTTTTTTTTAAAGGTAGGATCTCATTTTGTAGTTCAGGTTGGCCTTGAACTCACTATGCAGCCCAGGCTGGGCTCAGCCTCCCGAGCGCTGAGATTGGAGCCATGTGCCACCATGTCCAGTTGTCTGACATTTTAGCAAGAAGTCAAAAACACATCTTTCTAATAAGACACCTGCTCTTTGCAACAGAAATATAGTTCCTCATGCTCCCTATGAATCTCCTAATCATATGCATAAGAGTTTTAGTCACAATACATTTATTCAGAGTAGTGCTTTTAGAATTTTTATTACTAAGTCTGGAAACTGAAAAATAACTCAACTATGTATGATGTGGCATGAGGGAGTAAACACTCCTGTTGACTTCCTGTGAGCAGAATGACATGTGCACTCATGGCAGGAACAGAAAGATGAATGATAGCCTTTACTTCAAGAACAATACACTGAGTAAGAAAGAGCAGTTGTCAGGTCGGAGATGTAGCTCAGTGGTTCCATACCTGCCTGGCAAGCTCAAGGTCCTGAATTCGATCCCCAGAACCAGAAAAAAAGAAATAAAAAGAGCAACTGTCAAATATTCTATCCTCTCAATCCTCAATAAACCACATCTATATACAAATTTCAGTCTTCTCTTTCAAAAGAACAGACTGCTAGATTTAATTTTTAAAATGAAACATTTAAATGTATACAACTACAAAAGGAGCTACATTATGACAGTGACACAAAAGCACTGTCTTACAATGTGTGAAAAGTGGGTAGATGATTTGAAAGGAAAGGTAAAGATACTGAAGGAGTTTACAACTAAGGCACCAATCCGGTGGGAAGAGGAGGACATACCAGACACAGAAAAAGAGAACCATAATGCAGAGTGTTAAGAAACACAACTGAGGGCCAGGGATTTAGCTCAGTGGTTTTGCTGCCTGTTGCGCAAGCAAGAGGACCGGCTTTCAATCCCCGGTACCAAAAAGAAAAGAAACATAACTGAAAACCACATCGCCAGGGAAAGGTTTCATTCCTTGATTACAATAATAAACCTTTTCTCAGCAAATATGGTGAACCAGATATCCTGAGGACCCCTCTGCTAATACACATCTAAAATGCTGGAAAAAGTATCTGTGGCTTGGTTAGGTTTGCCTGGTATAAGTGAGACCCTGGATTCAATCTCCACCAACACACAGACACACACACACACGCACACATGCACGCACGCACGCTGTCTAATGTCATATATTTATCAAGAAACTTACAGCAAAGGGCCGGGGATTTAGCTCAATGGTTCCGGGGCCTGCCTTGCAAGCGCAAGGTCCAGAGTTTGATCCCCGGTAACAACAACAACAACAAAAAACTCTATGTAAAAGATAATTTTATTCAATATTTTTAGTTTACCTGTATTTTGACTATAGCCCACCACATGAAGGCTGGTGTGGCATTTTCCACTTGTGGTATCATGTTGGTGCTGAAAAGTTTGAGATTTTGGAGCATTTTAGATTTTGAATTTTTAGGTTGGGATGCTCCATCTGTACTATTTCCTCTTTTGGTGGTAACTTTTCACAATATTAGGAAAAAAGGAAAGCACTGATACATTCTAATACCACATACCTCACTCAGTTCTTTCTTATCCAGATTATCCAGGTGAATTTTGGTCCAATATTTGTCTAGTAAAGTAGCATGACTATTTAGTGGCCGATGCCAATTTCCTCCACAGCTTAAAAGTCTACATTTCAAGATTAAAACAAAAACAAAAGCAGATAAACTAAGTATTATGTACTTGTACCAATTCCCCCCTCTAAAAAAAAAGGTAACAGGGTTGAAGAAAGCAATATATTTTTAAAAACCCATAAAATGATAGGGTTTGCTGTGGGTGTAGCTCAGTGATAGGGCACTTGCCTACCATGTTCAAAGACCTAGGTTAGATTCCCAGCACCACAAAAAAAAAAAAATATCCAGGTAACAAGGTCTAGCAAGGTGTTGCATCTAGAAATGAAGACTAATTTAACGAAGTAAATACTATACGATACTAGTTTCATTCCTGAGCAATTTAAGATCTTGAAGAAGCTATATAAAGGTAGAATGGTAGTATAAAAACTTTTGCCTTCTGGTTATTATAAAAGGTAGACCAACACTACCTTGTCAGGAGCCATTCTACATAATTTTGGTGGAAAAAAATCATTTCACAATTAAATTATGATTAGGGCTATCTGAGGCCTCAATAGTCCCAACATGCTGTGATGCTCAAGGGCAAGATTCCGTCATCTAAAAACATCCTGGTTCTTTGAGAACCCAGCAGCAATATAAAAAGAGAATGGTTTTTATCTGGAGAGGGACAAATTCAGTTTAACTCATCCCACCTACTGTTGTAAAAACATTTTACTCATCTCAGCATCCAGGTCCTAATCAACATAAGCTCCTCATTGATCCTAAGATCCTCATCAGCATAATATCCTCATGGTCATAGGATTACCACCACCCTCCAAAGCATCTGATACTTCCTCCAATGATTTTAAGATCCTTGTCAATTTACGATTATCACCACCCTGAGTCATCTCATACTCTCTATGACCCCAATAGTGGCAAGCTCAGGGTGCCTTTGTCTTTCCTGCCCACTGATGAGGCCCAAAGCTCAGCTTCTTCTCTAAGTCTCATTTCCTGTCTTTATTCTTTAATTCGCTTTGTGTTGTAGTGGCTCACAAGAGACCAGGACTCATCACAGGGGTTCTGGTAATGTCCCCTTTCCCATTCCCTACATTATCTTTTATTTATAACACTACATTACTCAGGGTTTATTCCCTTCTTTGTGCTTATATGTTTTGTTGTTCTTTGTTTTGGTTTGGTTTTTTGGGTGTGCATGTATGGTAGTAAGGATTGAACCCAAGGCCTTGCACATGCTAACCAAGCACTCTACTACTGAGATACATTCTCCAACCCTCTTTTATTTTTGTATTGATAGAGGGCCTCCCTGAGCTGTTCAGGCTGGTCTCAAACTTGCAATCCTCCTGTCTCATCAGTTAAGTCTTTTAATTGCTTGAATCATCTTCACCACAAACAAGATAAGCCATTAATTCCATATTTACCATATGACAAGTCTTTAATGCAAGTCATTTCAGTTAATCTTTACACAGACATGATTTAAAGTACAGGCAAGGTATACACAGGTACTAAATATTAGGATCCAGATTCAGAGCTGACAACAGTCTCACCTCTGATTATTTCTGAAAATATGAAAACAAGATAAAATGTTTTCAAGTGGCTACTTATGTTTAAGAAAAAACTCTTATAAATCAACTTTATTAAAAATAATAAAAAATAAGAAGGGTGAATCTGTCATCAGTTCCTACTAACTTTGCTTGAAGTGGGCCCAGAGAACTCTATTCTATGAATTCTGGACTTAACATGCAGGTTAATGTGGATGAGGCTGTAGAGCTGGAACAGAAAGGTTAACAGCACATACCTCCTGGTTGCAAAAAACTGAAATCCAGGAGCCACTTTCAGACAGTCACTGCGGCCAGGAATCAAGAGCTGTCCGTTCTCCAAGAGAGGGATCAGCACAGAAACCTAAATCACAAAATCCCACTGATAAAGCCATTAAAACATTAGAAATCACAAAAACAAAACAAAACAATGGACACATCCTCAGAGGAAACTCCAGTTACCATACAGCAAATTAGGGTCAAATGCAGGTAAGAATCTCCAAGTCACCTACTCTCCAGCACAGCACTTTATTCATCCAACATTCCTTGAGTGTCAACTGTGGAACAGAACCAGGCAAGCTGCCAGGATAGAGCTTTTAAAGCCTACATTCTGGTGGGAAATAACAGACATGGAAACCACCACACAGCAAGACCGGCATGATCTAGCAGTATACAAAGAAGCAGAGCAATGATGTTGCCCAAAAGATAATCTTTTTGCTGAATCTTAAAATATAACCAGGAACCAGGTGGGGTGGTCTATAATCTTGTACTCTGGAAGGCGGAGACAGGAGGATCTCAAGTTCGAGCCCAGCCTGAGTAACTGAGCAACTTAGCAAGACTCTATCTCAAAAACTTTTTAAAAAGAAATGGGAGTGTAGCTCAGAGCAAAAGGCCCTGGGTTTAACTGTCAGTACAATACAGACAAAAATAAAGAGTATGAACAGAATTTAGCCAGATCTGGTGGGAAAGAAATGGTAAGTAAAAGGCTAGGGATTTAGCTCAGTGGTTCCTGTGCCTGCCTCGAGAGTGCAAGTCCCGAGTTCGATGCCTGGTACCCCCCCCAAAAAATAAATGGTAAGTAAAAAGTAGTCATGGTGGCACAGGGTTGTAATCCCAGAGACTTGGAAGGCTGTGCAAAAGGATTGCAAGCTGAAGGTCAGCTTGGGCAATTTAGCAAGATCCTGTTTCAAAATTAGATCAGCCAGGAAGGGGTTGGATAGCTCAGTGGTAGAGAGCTTGCCTCACGTGTATAAGGCCATGAGTTTTCAATCCTTAATACTATTTTTTAAAAAATCAAATGCAAGGCTGAGGACTTAGCTCAGTGGTTCCACCACCTCCCTGGAAAGCACAAGGACCCGAGTTCCATCCCCGGTATCAAAAAAAAAAAAAAAATAAAAAGCATAAAAATTAAATGCATAAAAATTCATATGCCTGGGCCAGGGATTTAGCTCAGTAGTTCTGCCGCCTGCCTCACAAGCGCAAGGACCCAAGTT